CATACATGTACATATACTCTACTAGTTACTAAACACAAAATGTGCTCTACACTGTACAGATTAGGTACAATGCATATATATACCCTTAAGAGTCTCCATACCTAGGGAAATATACAAAAGTCATCTTCAGACATTTATATTTAATGTTTCTTTTTCTTCAACTTTATCTGAATTTTCTGATTCATCTATGATGCACATGAATTACTTCTGAAATAAACCATATAAAAATGGGCACGCTTTTTAAAAAATCTGTAGTGTCAACATAATCTTTCTTTAGCAAAAGATAAAAGAAAACATGTCACTTGATCTGTCTGTGGCTGCTAGGTTGAACAGAAAGGTTTTGTGAATTAAAATCAGATGATGATGTTAGATAGAAATGCAAAGAAATGATCTATACTCAAAAAACTTGATTAGCATATTTCATGTTCTTGTGTACCTGTTAGGTTTTTTACAACTGATAAGTCCTAATAAACACTAAAACTCAAACAGCAGACACTGAGATTTGCTGTACTTATATAACTGATTCTTAGAATGTATTGCCTTTTATTTTAGATCAAAACATCAAAACTCTCTTTGATCCAAAAGAGCATGCAGACCCCATGTTTATATCTGAAATCAACCTACATACAATTATGGACTTAAAAAAAAAATCTCTTGACTTTCTTTTCATCCCTATCATGCAATGAGGGTTATGAGAGTACAACTTCAAGAACAACAGCCATGCTGTGTTTATGAAGCAAGCCTCTTTACCAACACAAGAAATTAAAAATGCAAACACCACCAGCTCGTCAATCAGAATAGTACGGTGAATGTCAGAGCTACAGTGGAACAAATTAGGGAGTTCATTCTTCCCTCAACAGCCATATATTTTCTGAGTAGTTGGCTTTCTTTGGATTAGAGTTATCCCCTTACATCAGCTGATGAAGTGAGTCCAAGTTAAAGTCACTATTTATCAATTACTGCCAGAGATACTCACAAGCCCTGTGTGAGGGCATTAATGATAGAACTCACCAGCAATAATGTTAATCACTGTATTTTACAGTGCTCAAAAGCAATAACTGAGGGAAAAGTGAAAATGCCTAGTTATTGCTGACATGAAGACAGATATTTCTGAGGATTTTTAGTGTAGTTAGTCAATCATTTAATTTTTCGAAAAAAATTAGTTTAGTTTTGTTTTTGTCCTGTTTCAGCAAATACTTTCTAGGCACCAGGCAGACTGGTGAATATGATGACCTAATCCCTCTCCTCTTGCAGCTTACGTTCTAGTGGGAGAGGAAAACCTTATGTGAGAAATCATAATTATAAATAGTGACAGGTACTATTATGGGAGAGAAGTTAGTTTGCCTTGGTAGGTCAAGGATCTCTTCCTTAAGGATGTGGCACTTAGTGATCTGATGAATGACACTCATTCGTATTCCTAATAACACTTGATGAGGCTCAGAATATGACCCAAATATGGCAACTTGGAAGTCACTATCTGACCATCTCCTGCCTTTGTCCTACAAATCAGCTGTTAAAATAATTCTTTGGTTTTTCTCCCCTTAAAAGTAGCCCCTAAAATCTTCATTCCATGAGAGTCCTGCCCTACATCCGGACACCAAGAAGAATCTGAATGAAGGCTTGCTGAGTTCTCCAAGTTTGTTATCATTAGCTCACACCCATTGGTCCTACAATTACACTTCTATATAACCAACCATAAAACACTCAGTTTTCACTGGGTCTGTGATCCTCATTTCTAATGGAGCCCAGGCCAAACAAAACTTTGGTTGAATAGATTTGTTATGCTTTTCTCTTGTTTGTCTGTTTTGTGAGATGGGGTCAGTCCTGAGCCTTGTGATCACTGAAGAAGAGTCCTCTTGTCCTCGCCTGTGTTCATCTTCCAGTTTCATTGGTATCACTCTTGCCTGGTCTTTCTACAACGGCCCCAGCTATGCTGACTCAGCCCTCACAAGGACTTCTTCCTCTTCTATCAAATGCTGAAGTTCTTTAGGCTTAAGCTTTAGGATCTCTTCTTTTCTCCTTCCATAGTTCCTCCCAAGGCATCCAGTCCATTCCTATCACCTTGATTATCACCTGTATGTCAACAAGTCCTTAATAGTTTCTAACGCAGATCTCTTTTGCTAGACTCACTCAGTGTATTCACTGCCTGTGTGACATCCTCACATGGCACCTCATAGGAACATAAAATTTAATACGTCTAACAGTAAAACAAAAATATTTCCTTCTCAAATCTTCTCCATCCTTATAAGTATCAGCCATTTGCTGTATCAGTAATCAGGGAGTCAACCTGAGACCTGCTTCTCTGATATATAAATGGTAGTTCCTCCCTGCCTACTCAACAGAAATAGGAAATATGTCGGGTTTCATATGTTTCTCAACCCTTTTGCCACTCATGTTTGTTTAGATAATACCTCAGGCCTTTTTCTTTTTCTTTGTTTTTGCTTCTACCTCTCCCTCCCTGCCCATTCATTTCCTTAAATAAAAATCTTTGCAGATTTAAAACCCGATTTCTCAGGTTTTAAAGTTCTCCCATTTTCTGAAGATCAAGTTTAAAGATACTGGGATAGTTTCTAAAATTTGCATGATCCAGACACTGCTTAATCCTCTGGTCTCATTTCACATCAGTCTTCACTTGATTCTCTCTGCTGCAGCCACAAGAAACTTTCAGTTTCTAAAACCAAGAAAAGACTCTCTTTTCTTGAGGAATTTGCATATCCTGTTCCTTCTACCTGAAACACCTCTTGTCTCCCTGCTACATTTTTGGTTTCATGTACGTGCAGGTGTGCTTGACTGCAAATGATAGATGAGCCAATGGCCATGGCTTCAGCAATAAGTACATTTAATGTTAATTATCTCATCTCACAAAATGTCTGCGAGTAGGTCCTTCCAAGACTGGCGCAACATTTCAAAACCATTATCTAAGTCCCAGATTGTCCTTTTTCCTCTCTGCCTTTCTGTGCATATTCATGGTTAATCTGTGGTCACTGCCTTGTGGTCCTAGGTGGCTCAGACAGCCAAAAATCTGACATTTTTCAGTTATCAAAATAGCAAAGAATTAAATGTACACATTTGCTCACTGTCTTCTCTGTGAGATTATAAACTCTTTGACTATGGAAAATATGTCTATCTTACCCACTGCCGTAAGCCTAGGATCAGCACAGTGACGGGGTCTATGTGAATCAGTGTTGGTTAAAGAAATAAATAAATGACTATGAAAGGGAACAGTAGAACTGAAAAAGCAGGTACAAAAAGGACAGAAAACTGCTAACACAGCTTCTTAAGCTAATTTCCATGCCTCATATTTCAGGCATCAGCTTTCTATTCCATTTAACTTGAGAAAGGTATTTTCATTAAAAAATTAGAAAAATTTTTGAAAGTGCACAATTCCTTCTACAGTGAGTGCAATTCTCCTAACATCTTAATTCCTGCCATGTGATTGGACACAGGTATTGTTACCACTGAGATACAAGACTGAATTCTTTCAAAAATTAAAATCTAACACTTGTTAAGGAGTTATATAATCTAGAACAATTTAAATTGCCTTAAATACATGGATGTAAATCAATTCTTAACTAAATCACTCAGATATTATTCAAAAAGAAAAAGTACATAAAAACTAGTAAGTTACTTAAAAGAATAGTCATAGCACTTTTTTCTAGATGTCCCCCTCCTGGGGGCATATCAACAGATAAGTTGTCTTCATTTGGCTGAAGAGAGAAAAAGCAGGCATAAAATGCTTAGTACATAACATATGCTTGGCTCAATTTTGTTTTTGTATCTAGTGCAAAAAGAAACGAGTTTACACCTATTGCTCATGTCCTAAGTATGTAATTATGGGTAACTTTGTTAGGTTCTGTGGTTTAAAAATGGTGTGGCAACGTAAAATGATTTTCTATTATAAATAGTCACCACACAATTTTAAAACTCACATTTAAAAAGTCAAATGGCATTGAAATAGTCAACTATAACTAACCTAACCAACCATTAAGTATAAATTCATATTCCCAAGAGTGTCTAATTCTATAAATGCAGAATTTCTTCCTAGTTTCTGATGGACATTCTGTTTGGTCATGTCAAAACACACAGAGAATTAACATAAAATATCGCAACACTTTTTTAAAAATGGATTTTTAAATATCTATGTATGAAAGAGTAGATTTCAAGTTTCAAATATGGTTTTCATTTAATTTTTTTTTTTTATAAAACACAAAATGTCTTCAAAATTGCAAAGGGAGTCCCCTAAGCAAAAAAAAAAATATAAGCAGATGGCTGAGAAAGATCACCCACATGCTGAACACAGATCTTGAGGAGGCATTTCTAAGAATGAAGTAGCACTTCCCAGCCTGGGCTACTTCCCACAATAATCCTTATTTAACCCATGGAAAATAGAGTTTATGCCTCTGGCCAGGAAAATCTCAATTATTCTTGTCCCACCTGCTTCATGGTAATCCAGACTGGTTTCCAACTCTCCCCATGGTTCCAAAAGAAGTTAAGTATTAGCCCCTTGAGACAACCAATCTTCTTCCGTGATCATTCTTCCGTGGTCATACCTGATCTAACATCTTCCCATATAAACGAGCTGTTAAACCCTAAGTATATTAGCCTTTCAATTTAATGTATGACGCAATCTGTTCCATTCTCTTAGTGAACAAAAGTTTCAAGATAACTTAAATGCCAGACTTAATCAACAAGAAAAAAAAAAATCTTGGCAATGTTTAAAACTGAATTTTAAAATATAATCCAAACAAGGACAAGAGAGACAACTTTGCTACAACTGATGAGATTGTATAAAACCTAAATCAGGTCCACAAGATTACCACAGCAGAACCACTAGACCTTTTAATGAGCCTGTTTGTCCTTCCTTTCAAGACCAGCAACATTTACTGAAGACCTGCACATACACCTTACCCAGAATACCAACAAATAACCAAAAATGGAGCTTTCTACAAACATGGTGAGTTAAGCCCCTTGATGCCCAAGACCACAAAAGAAAGACTCACAGATTTATCTTTCACGAGTAGAGCACAGCACTGAATTCCAGCCATCAGCATCTTGTGTGGGTTCCAGGCCACTGAATCAGCCCTGTTATAGTGAACAAAGCAGGACAGGTTTGGGAGGGAACCCAATTAGTTTCTATCGGCAGAAGGAAAACCACCCTCAGCTGCATCTACATTCAGTTCTCATACCCAAGTTACAGCTCCATAGGAGTCCTTGTCTGAGGTTCAAAGAAATTGGAAGTGTCTTTTGTTGTTGTTTTTGTTTTAGCAAAACAATTATTTTGTTTTTGCCTGTTTTCAAAATATTGCTTGGAAGGGAAAATCCAAAGAGGCTCTTTGCCTAAATAAAAATCAGCTGTGAACTAGGAAACTCCATTTACCTGTGAATGCCATGCAGAAGCTTGCGGTGCTTCCTTGACATCAAAGCTGAGCCACCCCAAGAAGCCTGTTGAGATATTTAAAGAACCAAAACAACATAAATTCAATGTTACTTGTTTACCAGTGAGCTGCCATAGAAAACCCTTAGGGACAATTTGAATCTGTTTTATTTGGTACTTTATTTTATATTGTGTTAACCAATTTATACTCCAGGGAATTTTGATCACTGGCTATGCTCAGGCAACCAGAACCTCATCACCACAGATGAACTCCACTGACCCTTAGAATATAAATTTGAACATCATAGAAAGTTGGTGTTTTAGCCAATTGAACTTTGTGTGGAAGAAAAGAGGTTTAAAAGGTAAAGTCCTTGTCCTCTTGATACCTAGAATCTAAAAAAGACAAAATCTTCATGGTGCTGCCATTTTGCCATACACGTTGTATGACGATCATGGCTAAAGGCTTGTGTTCTACATAGTGAATGAGGCACGTTCTTGACAAAATAGAAGAGGCTATCTGGTATGCGCTAAGGAAAAATTAGATCTCAGCCAAATGGTTTTCAGAAATATCTGCAGACCAAAAGAGCGAAAATGGGAGAGAGAAAATTTAGGACTTGAGGAAGTTATTCACTGGAGAGACAAACTTTTTGATCGCAGGAAAGGGGAGCTGAGGAAAAGAAGATGAAAGGGACTCTCATAGTCAACTGGTCTGGAAGGAAGGGAAAGAAATCAATGGAAACACAAGGGTCACTTAGTCTCTAAAAGCTGAACAGACTTCCATGCTTTAATCTTCAGGACAAGGAGGGACAACTGCAGTGAGGGGTCTAGCTGGAGTTGTGCTGATCTCCACATTTACTTAAACCTCACAGAAACTCCTTGAGGGTACAATTATTATTGTCCCCATTTTGAACAGATGAGTTAAGGTTTCAAAGAGATAAGTAAATTGTTCAAGTCTTACAGGTAACAAAAATCATATCTTGCAGTGAAAACCCATTTTCTTTTTATAACACCATACATCATCACCTACTGACAGTGACCATTTGGCCTTGGGAGTTAAAGCAATGAAAATTCATCAGGCAATGGGTGAGTTTGAGAATTCCCTAGGGTAGGGACAAAAATCTCTCCTACTTCAAGCATAGAATATAAAAAGACAGTTACATCCTGATGTCATGTAGAAAGAAGTGAGAAGATTGTGTACAACTTGGATGTGGGAGGTGAAGAAAATGAGACATCTCTATGATTCTCAGAGTATTACCAAAGCTGTAATGATGGGTAGCTAATAAAGTACAGCACAAGCCCCTTGGTGACCTTAAATCCTGTTTTAAAACAATGTTGTCCTTCAGGACTAGGCCTGTGACTCACTAGGATACACAACTAATGTTTTCAGAGTGAAAGGGTTTTTAAATTTTAGTCCTAGGACCACCACTGGTCTCACTTTATTTTCAACCAATTCCATGAAGTCCCCTAAGGTTTTCCAGTTCTGTTGTGACTCCAGGCTGGTGAGGGTGTAAATCTCAATTTCCCAGGGAAAGAACTGATGACTTGGGGGAGTTAAGTGTCCATCTTGCTGTACTCTGTCTCCCACTGGGATTCATGACAGACCATGTGTGACTATGGCCAGGCTTCAACAACACCCGCCTTCAGCATTCAGAAAAATGTTACCTTGGCCTACTGATTAATGAGTCCCAGATTTAGATTATGAGATTGTGATCCTCAAATATTAAGATGATTTATGTGTTAGGTTCTTCTCCTTTCATCCCATAACCTATATCCCAATTTCTGTACTTATCTCAATAGTTTTATCATTCAACCATATTGAAAAGCTGCCAGTGAGACTAGGGGAAGGGAAAGTCACAAGCGTTGTCCACCCCCACTTACTCATGCTTTCCACCTGCCTCAGACCCTCTGCTGCCCCCCTTCTGTCTGTTCTTCCCTCTGCTTCCTGTCCTCTCCCTTAAAGTCAACACAGTCTCCAAACCCCAGTGAGCTGGATTTAAGTGTTAAAGTCACACAAACTCTCTGAAGGCATTAGTTCACTGGTTTACAAAGTTACAGGGTTAGGAATAGCTCATTCACAAATTTATCACTCAAAGGAGTTAAGTGGAGGAAAAAAAAACAGCTGTTATGTCAATATCCTACTTATGGTTGCTTTATTCTCTAAATTCCTAATTTAAGAATTATAAAATGCATGAACCCAACCGCCTACACAATGTAGCAGCTTGGTTTTCTGTCTCTATTTAAAACTGTCATATACTGAGTTAATATTTCCTAATAAGCACCACGTATATAATTTTATGTATTTTTCTTTTTAATGAACCAATTACTAAAATAATAGAAATAATCTTGAAAGAGAGGGCAAGACAGGAGTGGAATCAAGATTTTACAGCTTCTAAAATCCATTATTTGAAATACAATGCTTACAACCTTTCCTGGACCTTGGTATGAATAGTTTGTGAGCAAATAGGGAACTTTGCAAGAAACATGAGGTTTTACAGAAGCCATCAGCCTCTGCTTCAAAGAAGAGCTGGACTGCCCTGATCTAATCTGAGGTACAGGGCAGAATTGCATTCACTCTCACGGAGAAAGAATGATACTGGAGGCAAAGATACCTCACAAAGCTAAAGCTTTTCTTATTTATTTGTTTAAAAATGCAACAAATTTACCAAATTTAATATAACATCAAATATAAGATTTAGCATTATATGTATGCCACTGAGAAAGAATAGAAAAGGATATCAACATACCAGCTTCAGAGATGTAAGAATATTTTAAAAGTGAATCTTGCATTATTTTAAAGAATCTTTAAAAACCCATAAAATTTCCAGTAGGTCAAAGCAGTGGCTGTAATTTTATTAGTATTTTACCTTTAAAATCTATAAATTAATAAAATAATAAACTAAGCTATGAACTATAAATGTAATTAAATTATAAATAAGTTAATAATCTATGATAAATTAATAATCTATGATAAGTTTCTTCATGGTGAGCTACAGCCTGCTGTAATAAAATTCTATCAAGAGAATCAGCACCTGCAGCAGTAAAGGATAGCTACACACTATCTCAGGGCTAGAGTTTACTGATTTCTTTAATAGGACAGACCTTCTTATGACAAATTCAGTCTAATGTTATAGGCATTCTACAGATGCTCAATCTAGACAAATAGAATATCTTGGTGTAGCTTAAGTGTTTGCTTCAAAATTTTTCTTCCAAACATCAACCTTTAATTTCTTAAAAATCTAGACAGCTTTCATTCCTACTTATAAATCACAATTCTCTCTAAGTGAAATAAATCTCTTAATATCATACCCAATTTAAACACTGCTGTAGTTACTCTGTTTTACATTATCTATCTAATGCATATTCAATGTTTCTTTTATGGGAGGAGAATATTTAAGTATAACTGCTGATGCATTTGATTGTTTCTCTTCATTTCCAGTTATAAACGTATTCACTTCATAATATCTTTTAGGACATAATGTATTGTTATGCTTCTAAGTCTATAAAAATCAATAAAATGTAAGTTGAAATGGGAACAGATACAAATACTAAAATCCCATTTAAAGGAGTCACAAATAATCTACCTGAAGTACTGTTACTGGCATGCTAATGGAGCCTATGACTCTAGCGTGCTTTTTATTACCTGAAGAATTGCTTTTACCAAGTATTAACATACATTTAATGAACACTTGAACTGTTGAAATATTCTCTGCATACCGCATCATAGAAACTCTAGTCTGAAAGCATAAAATCACCTGAACTCTACATATGTGTGGGCACCTCCCCCAAGTGCTCAGTTTTGTCTGTTTAGCCAGTCAAAAAGTATTTCTTCTGATAAGGGGGGTCTAATTCATTCACCTACCTCAGGAAAGTTCCCTAAAGTCTCATCAGCATGTACAATTGTCCCTTTCCTTGGATAAAAGCAAACAAATTAATTCCTGCTTTCACAAAACAAAAATCAAAAAAGAAAGAAAGAAAGTCAAAGAGCTTAACAAGCATTTCTAACTGTCTGAATTGAACATTTTAAACATGGATAAGTAGATTATTAAGTTACATTTAATTTAAAGAAAAATGTGTTATGTATAATCCCAGAACTTATAAAATTAATTAGAAAAAAGTCAATCTTTCAAGTTAGAAAATCATGAAGAATATGTTATCCCAACCCCTCTCAAATTATTATCTATGATAAATCCAGATAAAACCTGCTTTAATTATAGCATGCAATTATGTAATGCAGGGATTTTTAAAAATTTTATGGCTGATTGGACTCATATAATTTTAGAGCTAGACAATGAAGACCACATCAGCCATCTCCCTCTACAAATGAAGAAACTGAAATCCCAAGAGTGAAGAGAGATGTAGGTTATAGTGGGTTATAGTAGGTTACAGTGAAGAGAAGGTAGGTTATATTTTAAAAACAATGTCTCTTGAGCCCATAGTCTAAACACTGCTCCTGACCATGCTGCCTTAATGATTCAGGGGACCAAACCAGATGGTTTCTGATGCGATGAGAAGGTAAAGTGGAATCCAGAAAAGAAGATCAGAATTTACATTGTCTTGGACTCTTCTACTTTAACCCTTACAGCAAATGACACAGTTAATTTTCCCATGTTAGAAACAGAACTAAAACTAGTAGTGTCTTCACATCTATTTTGTGAAAGCATGGAAAGCTATGGAAAGATCAGAAAGCTGCCGAGAGGCGTGCACACTTACATCCACGTGGAGCCAGAGGCCGTGCTTCTCACAGACATCTGCAATTTCATCCAGGGGATCGAAGGAGCCTAGCACAGTAGTTCCAGAGGTGGCACAGACAAGAAATGGTGCTGCCCCCTGTGAGAAGGTCCACAGACAAGAGCACGTTACTGTCACCACAAAGTCTGTCCTGTGGCAAGTTAGTAAATGCAAAAGATAAATCCAGAGATGTGTGTGGCTGGGAGTCATCACTGATTCTATTGGGTACTTTTAAAGTTTTATACTACAGGCTGGCCTCTTGTCGTCACAGAGAGGCTCAGGAAACTGAGAAAATGCAACGAGCACAATCCTCTCCTGTCCTGGCTCAACACTGAGCCTCCTCATTATTGCTCTCCTTTTCTTTGTGCAGTATTTTCTGTGCTAAAGATGGCCCGGGTAGGAAGAAAGTAACCTCAACCATTAAGATGACATTCTGTATGACTTCCAGTTTCTTCCTGGGGAAATACACCAGGCCTGCATGGTGCCAGCATTGTCATCCTCCTCCAAAACAAAAAGAAATGGACTTGGAAGAAGAACACCCCACTTAGGGGTAAACCATGCCTGATACAGGCTCAGCAAAATTTGAATAGAGGGTAAGGCAGACTCACTTGGATGCATTCTCTGCATGGGTAATGCATAGAGAAATTCACTGGAATGTGCTGGAAAAAAGCCTGCATCATTCCTACCATGATTTTTCTTCCTCATAGACAAGGTGGCTGCATCTTGTAGAGTTGTCAGGGTCAGTGGGAAATGGAGCAGGAAAGGGACAATGTGGAGCACACACAGGCATTAATGGTAATCACCGCCACGCTAACCAGACACTTCTGCCCCATGAAGGGACTCCACATTAAGCAGACAGAGGAAGACAGATTGTTTCCGAATATAGCCATCTCATTGCGGTGTGGCAGGGACGTGTTACTCCTGTAGCAGGGCCCTGGAGGGAAAACTTACAGACAAATGTGGGGTTGTGGGAGCAACTAGAATCTACAGTTTCTAGAACACTTGAGTAATAAGTGGTCTATCTCACTCTGCTGCCTCTGAAAGTCATTTTACCTGCATTTAGCACAGAGCCATTTTCTCTTCAGAGTCATCATGAAATGCATTGTTACTGCAACACATTTTTATGGCCTTTGATGCTAGGGTGGTTGTGTTTGAACAAAACTCAATCCAATTTAACTGACCTGTGACAGAAAGATGTTATTTCTCAACAGAAAGTGGGGCAGAGCAAGAACACTTGGTCCCACATCTCCAAATTGAGATGCACAGGAATCAAAGTGGTGGTACATAATGAATCCAGTTGCCATTTGGGGAGACAGCTGTGACACAGAGAATTGGGTCTACCCCAAACCTCTCACAGCCAGGTCAGGAGCTGACAGAGCCCCTGGGGAACCATGGGCTTTGGAAATTCTTCCCTGTACTCAACCACAACAGATTTAGTCTTTATCATGTCAGGGACCTAAATGAAATGAGAACAGATTGACATCAATCATTAAGAGCAACAGAAAAAGTCATTTACTAAAACTGTTTAAGGTGTCTTCAGTGATTGGGCTTTTCCTCATAAACTGCATGACATCCTGACAGTTGTGAGAAAATAACTACGCAAGCTATGATAGCCTATTAATGGGTTTTCCTCACCTCTTAAAAACCCTTGCTATACCTATCAAGCCTAGAAATTAAACTTTTGCAGTCTTCCATATGCTTTTCTTCCTCATGGTATTAATGAGAAACCACAGTAGAAACAATATTAATTGCAAGTTGCCAATGAACTATAATCCCTACAAAAGTTTGTCCTTTCACATACACATGCTCAAAAGTACCTCTGAAATATTCTGTGGTAATACTAGCTTGGACTTATCAATAATCACTTTAAGACTTCTTCTGCCTTGTGGAATACACTGTCTTTATAATGGTATCAAATAAAGGTCAGTATTAAAGATTTGTCAATGACCAGAGAGTTGACTCCCAGGAAAAAAAAATGTTGGTGTACTAGTCCCTTCATCTGAAACAACAGTTAAAAGTTTGAAAGCAATCAGGCTTAAATTACTGAGAAAAACAAACTATACATCATGTATTATTATCTTAGAATGGATGCAAGGTTGCTTCATGGTCAATCTAGGCTCAAGTATTCTGACTTGAAAGAAAACTTAGGAGATACACCAACTCTAACTCCATTGCCCTCTTTTAAGTTTTAATTTTTTAAAACATCTTTTTTTAAATTCTAAACTTTAGAATTATTTCAGTTTTATATACTGCCAAAACAAAAGTATTTGGACATCAGAACAATAATGACGATAGTGGAGTAAAACCCACTGTGGTAGTCATATGAACTGGTGATGATACTAAAAGCAAAGGGGACTACATTGAGGGGAAGTTAGGAAACAAGTCACTGTTTTGAAAATTAATAAATGATAGGGAAAAAGATAAAACATGTATATCCTGCCTTGCTTGTCCAAATTGCTTCCTTGGGGAAATCAAATAGGGATGAGGATACATAATTCTTTATAGAAAAAAGTGCCTGCCAATAAATAAAGAAGGAACAAGACAGTGAATTAATTAGAACATCACTTAGTGAAAGGAGAGTCTGAACAACGACAGTCAATAGCAGCAAAATCCATGGGTGAGGCTGAGGGATGGCTTATGGTGGATGAACTGACAATACCAAACTCCACCCACTGGTGTCCTCTCAACAACAGACACGGGCCTGTCTCTGGATCGAAGGATGCAATGAAGACTTCCTGGCTAAAAACCCAACTTGAATCTCATGGAGCCTCACAGGAAATTCAGAGAGCTGAAGGGGCAGTGCAGAGGAGGGGAACGCTTAGAGTCTCAGTATTCAGTGTACTCTACAAAATCCACAATGTACACTGCAGGACAAAGGACCTGGTTTATATAACATATCAATTTCAGGGGGTAAAAAAAAGAGGAGAAGGAGCATGCTATGGATTAGGAAAAACTTATGAGACAAGTCAACCAACACAAAGCATTTCAATCCTTAACTGTGCTTCTGTTTGACTCATTTAAACAAGCCAAACATTTTTGAAAAGTTGGTGGAGCAAATTTTAATATAGACTGAATACTTGATGATATTAAGAAATTACTACTTTTAAAATATAATCATAGTATTATTTTTAAGAGAATATATCTTTTTTTTTAGAGACAGGGTATTGCTATATAGTTCAGGCTGGCCTTAAACCTGTGGTGATCCTCCTGCCTCAGCCTTCTGAGTGCTGGAATTATAAACATGTACCATCACTCCCAACTTGAGAGAGGACCTATCTTTCACAGATATACTCAATTATTTACTGGTCAAATGATATCTGAGTATAATGTGGGGTTTACTTCACACTAATCTAATCTAGGAAAGCATGGGGTATAGAAAGAAAGAAAGAAAAAAGAAGGAAAGGAAGAAAGAAAGAAAGAAAGAAAGAAAGAAAGAAAGAAAGAAAGAAAGAAAGAAAGAAAGAAAGAAAGAAAAAAGAAAGAAAGAAAGAAGAAACGGAGAAAGAGAAGGAGGCAGGTGAGTGAGGAGGCAGGAACAGAAAATGAAGGAGAGGAAAAGGGAAGAAGGGAAGGAAGAAAGAGGGAAAGAGTAATGGGAACTATGAAAAAGTGCAATTGGCATTTCTCACCAACAATAATTCATGGTGTAATGTAATTTTTTAAATAGGAACTTCTGTAGAAAACAATGAAATTAAAACTAGAAAGTACTATCTATGGTTTACAGCAGAATAAACTACTCACAAGTGTTTTATAGAATTTACCCAAAAATCAAAAAAGTATAATGAGCTGAACCACCTTGTCATTAGAATGTTAAAATTGTCCAATCTATTTGTCATTAGAATGTTATAAGTGTACGTTTAAGGATACAAACCTGAACCCATTCCATCCATAATTTTAACAAGTATTTTTTTTTAAATGGACTTAAAATCAAACATAGAAATCTAGCATGCCCTCAAATTGCTTTTTATGAAACTAGGTGATTTTTATGAAAATTTGAAAAAAATAAAGAATACAACAAAATAAGTTCAATATTAAAACTCAAAAGAAAATAACTCATCCTTTTTACAACATGAATCCCTGTGAGGATAGATATACTTATACCCCAGCTCAGATGTTGGGCTTCCTTTTTCCTGAGGTCACCCCTGACTGTATTGCTACTATCAAGAAGTTATCTGAATCTCCAAGAGCAGTGGAAGGAACATGGTGCAAGGGGAGGCAAGCAGTGGAGAGGGAGCACCACACCCAGCAGGCTTTTGATCCAAAAAGCAAAGTGGCTGGCACCAGAATGAGAAGCTACCTTTTTAAAAAAGCAGACGTCGGGGTGTTATGGTTTGTATCTGCATATCCCCCAAGTCCTCATGCAGTCATGCAGCAGGTTTTTAGGGTTTTGATTGATGGTTATGAGTGCTACACTGCCCTGGGAGGATAGCTTGCATATGTAAGGGAGAGGAAGAGGCTGCTGGCTGACACTCCTCCCTTTTGTGCTTGTTGCTTTTGCTATGTTCTGCTGCCATGAACTGTAGCCCTCTGCCATATACCACTCTGCCTTGGAGCCAGCCAAGTATGGACTGAAATCTCCACAAACTGTGAGCTGAATAAACCTTTCCTTCCTTAATTCTGGGCATCAGGCATTTTGTCTCAGCAATGCAAGAAAAGTAACTAAGACACAGGGTCAACCTTGTTTGATCACGGCAGGAAATCAGGGCTACGCCTTGGCTTATCCAAGAATGGACATTTCAGCTTTAAAATATTCAAGCAGGGAAACATTTTGCCACTGAACTCTGAGACCCAGCCCCAGTGTGAGGTGCTACTAATGTATGGGCTTTGGGTTAGAAGCAACTAGGAGGAGACATTGATCAAGAAATCAAAAATCATCCTGAGTGCAGCCTGGACACAACACATTTATCCTGCAAGCTGCTCAGAGGGAGGATTCGGTCAGGAGAGCGGATGTGGAACTCTGCCAGAGAGGCTAGGGTCATCTTTAGGGCTCATTCTAGCCGGGAATACTGAACAGCGGTCATGGCGGTATTTTAATAGGCTCCAGCCACCGGGGATGAGAACATCGAAGGAACTCCACAGAGCATGGGAGCCACGCACCTGGAAATGGAACATCTGTAAATGAGTTTCCCTACTTTAACTCCAACACACTTCCTCTTCCCTGTCCCACATATAAAAACAGGCTTCACTGTTTCCATTCTCTCTCTCTCTCTCTCTCTCTCTTTCTTTCTCTCCTCCCTGCTTTCCATCCTCCTCCCCCTCCCTCCCTCCCTCTCTCCTCACCTCTTTTTTGGCTTTCAGGACCTGCTTTTCCAGTTCCTCAGGTATCATCTTACCTCTAAGGGGTACAAATTTAAACTGTCAGTTATATTACTAGTTCGCAGGCACTGGCACTGCTTTCTAAACAGGCTGAATTATCCCTCCACCCACCAGCTTCCAGATCCTGTCCCATTACCTTCCATCTGTTTCCACAAAGCACACGTTCTCGGTGCCAATCCCCAGAAAAGACGCTGACTTCTTCATGGAGTAATGACACTGAATTGAAGGGGCAAAGGGGAAGGGAGAGAGATGAATGTCCTGTATGGCATGAAAGATGTATTACTTTGTATCTAAATAGGTGTGTGCCTTTGTAGCAGAGCATAATCTTTGGATTACTGCACAGAAGGAGACGAAAGCAGTAATTTACTTGGGCATCTTCCTCTAGTAGTTGAGAACATTCTCTACTTGTGCTCTCATTTTCTCCTCTAACTGTGCTCACATTCACCTGAATTTATAGAAGCTTGAACAAGTGAGGCACATTCTCTAAGCCTCATTTCACTAGTTTATAACATAGCCACATCAGCAATGCCTCTTCTGCCGGCTGGTTATAGAATGGAATGGATTCATGCACCTGAAGGCTTTAATGTAGAGCCTACCCTATGGAACAAGCTTGATCCCTGGAAGCTATTGTTTCCCATAAGGAAAGAAAAATTTCTCTCGATGCTGCTAGTAAGGCTCGGTATCAGTAGAAACTTAGAATCTCAATTCACTGCTGAGGCAAACTCAAACCCTGTCTCAAAGATCCCATTCACAGACTAGAGTAGCATTTAATTATTTGCAAGAGCGAACAATGGGTTATGAACACTGACCAGACACTTGGCCAATCTTACTTAATATTGAATGCAAGGCAGAAATCAGACATTCAGGAATGTGGCTAAAACCATAATAAGAAGAGTAATATTAATTTATAGACAAACACTCAGCTATGGCATGAATGAGGCTAATCAACAGCTCTGGAATTGGGTCCGACCTACTTTTTATTGGCAAATAACAATAAGTAGTTTACACTGTTGAGCCTTTTCCTTCCCCGCATGGAGCCTATATGATAATTATCATGCAAATGTTGGAGATGTCATTCTTTATATATTATTGAGGACAGGTGGTCAATTAATTCTTTTTCATGCCAGAAGAATGAAGGTGCTAAAAGATATTATTGTACCAAAAAACCTTAGTAATTTAATTTGTAGGTATGAATACATTATAAAAACAGTCATGCCTTCACACTTAACTTGATATATTCTCTCAAATGTGGTAATTTTTTCCTTCTTTTGTCAAGAGAATTTTATTGGGAGCTTTTTTTTTAACTCAGTAAAAATAAAATGCAGAAGTAACACCATCAGGAAAAAATGGAACTATCCTAAATAATTAATTTCCAAATATCAAATAAGACACATCCAAACTGCCTGTGGGATGCATTCATTTTAGGTTGTTACAAGAACATATGCATAGTAAAGAGCAATAATGTGTAGGAAAATGTAATTAATTCTCTTCTTGCCACATCAACCTGTGCTGGTTGGCAGGAACACGCCTGCCACAGCTAAGGTGACACATCTAAGGTGAATTATTTCTCACCAGAGATTTGGACTCTGGAAACTGAGCAGCTATTGACCTCCTAATGATAAATGCTAGCTTAGCCCACCTGACATCTGACTATAAGGAAAATCACAGTGCTCTACCCCTTAGAAATAGCAAAATATCTCCAACCAATAGATGTGCTGGATCAAAAACTAGTAATCAGAATAAGAAGAGCTGCAGTAGAGCTATTGCTAAGTACCTCAGGGCAAATGTCAATCTCAAATGGACAGGGACAGATAAAAATATTGAAAAACTGAAGCTTAAATATCTGAAAGCATCAGAGAAGGAAAAAGGCCCTGGAAGTGGAAAAAAGGAAAGCGAGATGCTTCAGAAACGCTGAGTAGTTTCCAGAGGAAAAAACTGGAAGGCTGGAATTCAGAAGTAACAGCTACAGAAGATGTCAGTTGTTCTAAGACTCAAGCTCTCTATAGGTTCTGTGAATCTACAAAGGCTAAAAATTCTCAGCAGGTGATCGTTTCCATACAGATAAAACAACAAGCATCTCTATGAGAGAGCACCAGGCTGAAATCTTACTTTGTGGTTCCTGAAAGGGTTTTCCTTTTCTTTTTTTCCCCCATGACCTTGGCTTTTTCAGTGAACTGCTTTCTCCTCTATATGCACTGTGCCTGGACACATGGGTCCTTTCTAGTCCTGACTAATTTGCTGCTTAAATTAGCTGGTAGAAAGAGCAGAATTTATAAATATTATACTTAGAGAAGGAAAAAAAGAAATATCTAGAGGATTTTCCCAAAAACATACAATGTGTTCAATTCTTAAAAAGACGAGAGCCAGAATGCAGATGGAGAGACTTCAGTCTCAGGCTCAGCAGTTCAGCTTAAGGGATACCTGCTTGCCCATTGAGAGGGGCTGAACTAATATACAAACCCAACCTACAAGGCTACAAGGTTAAGGGAGGCACAATAATATACAAACCCAACTAATATACAAACCCAACCTACAAGGCTACAAGGTTAAGGGAGGCACAACCCTGAGACCTGTATCCTAAACCTCTCACTTGGGTCCCACCTTGAGCCCCACTAAAGAAGAACTAGTCTCATAGATTATTGCCCTGGAAGGGTTTCTTTTCACCATCTCTTTTTGGTGGCAGACAATGATCATTACTTTCTGCTGACTTCAAAAATGATTTGAATTCTTCATGAACTTTACAAACCTAGGATTTCTACATGAAACCAAGAAATGCACATCAAAGTGTTAGTCAAGTCATCAGTGTATTACTTTTCTCCAAAAGTCCCCAACTTTTTGATTGCCATGTAGCACTGGGGAGGCTACCTTCGATCTACTGATGGGGCAGGGGTCTCTGTCATGATCTTGCAGGTCTTTATTAACAGTTGCATTACAATCAAATATGAAAGTATGCAAAACTGCCTTCAGTGGCAGGTCCATACATTCTGTATTTGATGGTGAAGACAGGGATGGAGTAATCGGGGAAACACAAGGCCTGGAAAAACCTGCCTATTTCTACAGTAAAGGAACACATCACCTGTCATGGAACAAAGGCTTAGAAGAAAACAATGGTGGTATAGCTAAAAGATTACTACAGGTTTAAGACTGTTTAGTAAATACATTGTTTAACTCTTTCTTGACTAAATAATGGATGTACTTGCTATAATAAAGTAATGCCAATGCTATGACCCAAATCTCTTTGGCATATCAGGGAAAGCAGGGAGCTGCAGAGTGGAGTCTGCGTGGGTGTGTTGGAGAAATATTCTCCTTTAGGTTGCACCTGTCTGCTATTTTTTCCTAACAATGTAAAGCTAACTAATACAGATAGTGCAGCATGTGCTGTTGATATCCTGTGATGTGAAAGGTCCTTTGTATTTGTGATCTTCCTTCAAAAACACAATATCCCCAGCCTAAGCATGAAGCAGAACCTCAGACAAATTCCACCCAAGGGACCTTGTACAGAAGAAGAAGCAGTGGCAGAAAGACAGAGGGCCCCACTGGAATCAAAAAGAGAAAGGAAAAGGTGAAAAATAATCTGCCAAATAAGACTACACTTAAGTGAACCTTCAGTTTCCACTTCCCTTGTTGTAGCTGGATGATTTTCCCCCTATTAATAATAGTGAACAGTTCTTACTGTTATATGTCAGATTCTACTTTGACTGCAGTAACTATTTAATCTCTGCAACAACTTACTCATCATTGATTTCTTCATGGTTACTTGGTTGCCCTCAGTGCCCTCAGTTGTTCAATGATCATGGTATACAGACCCTTTCCCATATGATTTTGCAAAAATATCCATCTTGGATCTGAGTTTGGAGATATAGTTTACTCTCACATAGAATGAGGCAGAAGTGATTTTGTGCCAGTTATGAGTTTAGGACTCAAGGTCTGGGGTGTTTCCACTACCTCTACCATTACCTTGCAAGCACATCCAGAGGCTGTCTGCTGGAAGGGAGGAGCACATAGAGCAGTGGGGACTCACTGGTGTCATGCCAGGGAAACCATTTCCAGATCATGGATTGGCCAGCCAAACCCTGGGCATGAGAGTGAGCCCAGCCAAGAACAGCAAAACTTCCCTGCTGTCCTGAGACTTGTAAGCTGTAATACATGGTCATGAGATCTACACTCTTGGGTTTGGGGATAATTTATTAGATATAAGAACTGATACTCATTTTTATAAACTAGGAAACTGAGGCACAGAGAAGTCAACCAACTTATTCAGAGTCACTTAGATAGCAGGCAATGGAAACAGAAATTTAATGTAGGCATCTTAGCTCAAAGCTAGTGCACTTACCACAATCTGACCCCTTCCTTTAGCGAGAGTGAAATAAGATGGAATAAATTATGGCAACATTCAGTCAGTTACATATAGATGTGCATGTGTTCACTATTTTGAATATGTCCTTTTCCGCTTGAAACGAAAATATAAACCCTTACATCAGCCAATCAGAACAATTTTACAAGTAGATAACATATCTGAGATTAGTAGCGATCATCAGAGCTCTAAGAAACAAGACACTCCTAGAAGAGATTCACAGAAACAGCACTTCCAAATGAAATGTTCTTTCCTCAAAGAAAATGATACAGACTATAAATTTTAAATAATTTAATGTACAAAATTGGGTGGCCAGGAGTTTCAAGGCCAGACCCATTAGTACCTCCTTTGGAACGCAATATTATGTTATGCATAAGTATATTAACCACTCATGGATAGGGTAAAGTCACAACAGCAGTTTTCAAACAAACAACCCTTCTGAAATAATGCATTCTCAGAAAATCTGTATCTGATATCAAGAATAACATTTTACCTCTGCAGATGTGAAAAGGACTAATCTTGGCAACCGAGACAGCCCCTTTTCCTTAATATCAGGACAGTATTTGTATCTAGCTAAATTCATTGCATACATATTGGACACTGAGCCACCTGCAAAAACAAAATTAAAATGTCACATTTATGGTATGAATTTATAGTACCCCGAACCCTAGATGCAGTGGAAAGCATACATGGCTCTGACTACTCTAATGGCAAAATCACATTGTACACATTGAAATTCCCCCCAACACGTGTAAAACTGAGACGGGGGTGAAGGAGATGATGGGGAAGGGATGACTAAAGTATGTTCATGTACCAAAAAATGAATAAAATGAATTTTAAAAATCGCTATGAAAGTCACCCAAACACTACCCCCACCCATATGCTGAACACCCATCATTTTCACGCACTGCTTACTCTCCAATTCCAGAACCTTTCAATTTGAGCAAAGAAAAAAATTCCCATCTATTATCTCTTTCTAGGATTCTTCCCAAATGTAAGGTTCAGTCTATGAGCCTTGGACGTAAGGCCAGCACCCAAGTCTCCAGTTAATAATATTCTTTGCCACATGATGAATAAACTTGAAATGATACTATGTGTTCATCTTTGGCTCCAAAAAAATTGACCATAGGACAAGCAAATGTAGTTTAGGTACTTGATCAAGTAAAATTGATTTAAAAATTTGGAAGACTTATCATAGTCTTTCCAAACTCCCAACAGCAGATAAATTTATCTGTGTTAGATATAATCCCTAGACTGTAAATATCCCATTTGTTAAAGTATGCACGTCACTTGCTTATCATTTATGCAAAACATTATCTCTCTACAGTAAGGCATAAGCTATATGATTACCTGGTAGCATATCTTAGTAACATCCAACTTTTTGTAATTTGTAAAGCTACAAGGAGTTGTTCCTCAAGGGGATACATTTTAGATGCTTATAGTGGAAAGGTGATGGAAATAGCTAATTGTAACCAATTGTACTCACCTGGATTAAATATTCCATCTCCTCCTTGCCAGCCAATGAATTCAATCATTTTCTTCAGAACTGCTTCTTCCACTAACAGAAACACTGGGGACACCTCATACGTATAACTGGATAGATATAAAGAGCACTTAACTTCTACAACTAGTGTCAAAACATTCATTTCTTTGGTGTCTCAAGAAATTAAATTAATTAAATGAAGTGGTTTCTGAGGTGTAGGTAGTCTCTGGAAATATATCCACTGGAATAGAGAATTACTTTATCAGTAATAGCGCTATCATGGTTATATAAATGCCGATAGATGGTGGCCTTGGAGATACACAAGCTTCTTCAGCAATCTTAGTTTGGACAAAACCTTGAAGTACGTAACGAGAGGAAAGGGCAAGGCATTGAGACTCTGTATGAGTTATGGACAGTGGCCGTCTCACTGCTAGGATGCTTTGAATACTGCACTGGATTCTGATGCTGGAAAAGCCATTGTCTTGATAACAGGGTTTTATTAGGGTACTACTCCAAGTACACTAACAGTCAGCTCTAGATAGTCTATATGGGAACTAGCCATCCTAAACTAGTGTTTCCTCCTCCACACCACCCCTGTGGGAGGTGTTCTATGACAAAGCCCTTATGATGTGATGGTCTTACTGCCAAATTCTATCTGGATCCTCTGTCAGTGAAGGACCTGCTGCTCTAGGCTGGAACACTGCTGGCAGAGAGCCTTGCTAGGTTAGCCCCCACAGGGATTAACTCAGCTACAGGGAGCTGACCACCCACAAGGTCACATGCCTTCTTGTGGTAGTCCACACTTGATGACTCACCACTCCAGATGTCTCTGGGCTCATCTGAGATGGTCATCCAGCCTGGAAGGCACCTTGACTCCTGCACCCTCCTCTCCCACTCGCCTGGGTTCCCACATTGTTCCCAAGGGTGCTCCTTAATAAACATCATACCGTACTAGTCTCCAAGCTTCACCTAGAGTGGTTTCTCGGTGACCCCCAACTACATCCATTACTGCTCCTTATTTTGAAATGTTTGAGTCTCTTCTCTCTCCAAATAACTTGAGGGTGACTAAACCTCTCTAATCTCCTCAATTAGGTAATTACGTTAAATATGAAATAAATTTGTACTCTGAATACGTGGGCTAAGCAGATGCATTTCAATTCATAGTCACAAAATTAGATGAAGTTATTGTAACATCTGCAAGGAAGAGCTTTGAAATGGAGACAAGAAAACTGAACACCTACTATGTATCATCCATGTGCTAAGCACTCCATAAATCTCACATCACTTTAAAGACTAGATAAGCTCTGTTTTTAACAACTGATAATAGTCTGTACATACCGCGAGTATGACAAGGGATATATGCTTATGTGTAGCCTAATGTAAATAAAATAATTATTCAATTTTTATAACAAAATATTAGTATCAAATCTTTCATTGAAAATTAGCTGAAATCTACACTTTGGAATAGTGGAAAGGTGGTAGTGGAGGACAGGATGGTATGGAACGCTTTCTAGGGTAGGTCACATTTTCAGTGGATGGTTCTGTTTAGCAGCAATGTAATATTTCAAAAACCTCTACATGTTTCAAATTAAGTAACCCAGATGGGACATTAGAAAACCCATAATTCCTAAGGAAAGAGTCAAAAAGCTGTGTAATCTTACTATCTTCTTTGATTTAATCTACTGTTTCTTCTTCGTCCATTGTAACCTAGTGTCTACTTCCAACAGTGGGTCAGCGGTGTCCACACTAAGAACCCACTGGACACCATTCAGTTCCATCACTATTAAGGGTTCAACACGTGACTTTAGACACGCTGCCCTCTGTGGCTCCCATGCCTGTACCCTTGATTTTCTCTATCTCTCCTCCTTCTCTCACCCATAAAATACTGCATGCCTCAGGCCCAGCCTGGAGCCCTCTTGTCTTGCCAGTCTGTCCTCTCCTGACGGTGCTTCTCCTTCATGGAGGTTCATTAAAATCATTTGTTGAGCTTTATCAATACATCAATGAGTGGGGCACACACATAGGAATTCATACTTAACTAGTCTAGGTTGGAGCCTATATATCAATTTTTTAACAGTTCCCAGGTTGATTCTAATGAGCAGTTAATGTTGAAAATCACTGACTTAAGGAATCTTGTCTATGCCCACTATTGTAACTACCACGATGCTGCCAGTAATGTTTAAATTTATGCCTTTCCCATGATAAAATTCCAGGCTATACATCTTTCAGATTAGCTGTTAAATATTCGTGATTGTTTCAAAGTCACTGCAAACTCAAATGCTCATAATTGAAAATTGAATTCTTGATCTTGCCTTTTCCACTACATACTTGAAAAGTGCTCCTCTCTACCAATGCTTTTTATATTAATGAATGAAATGACAATGAACCAAGGTATAAAAGCCTGACACACAGGCATTATCTTAAAATCTTCCCTTTTGCCTTCATTTCCTAGGCCCAGCAGGCAATACCACTCCTTATGTTTTATCTTCCAGACTAAATAAAACTTCCAACTAACTCCAAACTGCTGGACAGAGATACAGCTCAGCAGCACAAGCACCTACCTGGCAAGCACAAGGTCCTGAGTTTGATTCCTGGTACAAAAACTAAAAAATAAGAAAAATAAATCCAAACTACTACTACCTTTCACCTGAGGAAATTTCCCTCTAACCCTAGTCTACTCTCTCTGTTTTCAGCAAGCTTTGTAATACCAAAGTCACTTGATAATTTAGAAACTTTCAAAGGCTTTTGCATGTGTTTAGGAGAAACATAGTATTTGCCCCTGCAAGTTTGGTTTCCATCTTTTCAGTCTTATCCTGCACTGCACTCCTTGCAGCTCTGTCACCTATACCTACATGGGTGGTCAGTTCTTTAGAGTATGTCATGCTGCCTTCCACCACAGGCCTCTTCACATGTCATTTCTTATACCTGAACCTGGCCCCTCCCATTTTTACCTAACTCTCACTCATCCTTCAGTTCTAAACTGTAACTTTTTCAGAGAAGACTTTTCTAAGCTCTCAATTTGGAAAAATTTCCCTGCTTATATTTATAGTATCCTGCACATCTTCATGTAAGAGTTTGAATTTTACATTAATTTTACACTAATACCATGTTGGCTGGCTACTCTTTTCCTCTTACTAGATTTTATGCTTCACAAGAGCAGAGTCAAGGTTTATTATTCAAAGCCCCTCTCTAGCAGTTACAGATATGGCTCTTCACGAAGCAATGCATGAAAAGTTGCTTAATCAATTTTCTCATGTGTTAGATGAGATAACAAAGCTTCCCTGTTACCTCATAGTACCACTACACAAATCACACAGCTCTTTGAATACTACGGAGTGTCATAAAATTATTCTGTTACTTATAATTATATTATGCAAAAGCAATCATTAAATATAAATTCATTAAATAAAGTTTCATCTATTTAAAAAACAGCTCTAGTCCATATTCAGTATGAAATTCCAGTAGCATGACACTTACACACTAGGATTTAATGCTTCTGTCATAAATCGGGCCACCAAGGAGTAATAATCAAGTCCAGCATACAATTGGTTGAAAAATCTTGGGTGGTCTGTAAATTTAAAACAAAGTATTTATTTATACATTAATAAAAAGAAAAAGCTATGGGCACAGCAATAACATAAATGAGTCCTTCTAACAATGAAAGCACCTAGACATAAAAATATACAAAGCATGTTCATTTATATGCATTCAGAATCAGCAAAGCCACCAATGGGGGTACAAGTTAGAATTCTGGGTACTTTCGGGGAGGAACTGTGGATTGGCAGTTTAAGGACCTTCTGGGCTGCTAGAAATGATCGAAATCTTGTCTAGGTGATGATTTCAATGTACAGGTACATACAAATACACTAGGTGAGTGCTTAAAATATGTGCACTTTACTGAATGTAAATTATACCTCAATTTTTAAAATATTCAAAATATGATTGGGCACAGCAAAAAGTGTTAGTTTCTTTCTAGCCCTTTTTACTGAACAATGCTTCTCTGCAAAACACGAGCATCCTCTTCAGAGCTTTGATTTACCAACCGCTCTTTTCAGCAATTTGCATCCAACAAGAACCCTTGAGAAATGGCTCTGAACGCTGCTTTTCTCCAAGTTCCACTGCCTGTTGCCTTCATCTTCTGAAACCCTCACTATTAAGCTCCCTCACTTCAAATGCATCTTCCTCACCAATGGGTTCACCTCAGGCTGCAGGCTGTGAGTAGCCTTTTCATCTTTCACATGGGCAGTGTGATGGCAGTATGTAGATGGAGTGGGATGTGACTCACCATGCAGCTTACTTCAAACACACTCTCCTTTAACACTCAAATGATTCTGAGTTCCAACTTTCTACATTTTTTTTTTCTCATAAAAGATCTCGTAAAGGTTCTTGGCTTTACGCAGTGTGAATATTCACACCCAACACCAGGCTATCTGTCTTGACATTCTAAGCCACAGGCAGCTCAGCATGACAAAGAATAAAGAGGCAAGAGGTTTATTTCTACTTTTAGATATTTGGGAATCATTTTAGTCATGACAACTCACAGAATTTAGTGAGTGGGTTTATTTCCTCTTTAAACTATGAGTTTAATAAAAAAAAAATCTCATAAGAAAATGTCTTTTCAATTAAAACATGGAAAAATTCCTCTGATCTGGCAAAGGAAACCAGACATTGCTACAAGTAATTTTAATAAGATTTTTTTTTAGTACTGTGTTAATTTATGATTGATTTCCATGGTAACATTATGGAAAATATCCAGTAAACTGAAAAATCTACTGCACTAAATGTCATTCTACACTTCTGACACACACTATAATAATAAGATATGTATCTCTGCTTTTGAAATGTTAACTGAGTTTTTGATACATACACCAGACTTTCCCAAGGGAATATAATCCAATTATTTTTAGCCAGGATTTTATTATGTTCTTTCCACTAAATTTAGTCCAGTGTCAGGATTCACAAAGTACAGTGTCTGTATGGTTTTAAGTACTAGATTACTTTCACATCAGACAAAGAAATGCTTACTTTGGGAAGTTATTCTTCCCCTTTTGCAACCTGTTAACTGGATATATAGATATTAATAGTCAAATTAAAATTAGTTCAGTATATGACTGACACAAGTCACTGCATTTACAGATGATTACAGCGATCATGGCATTAGTGTGAAAATCATAGCAAAACTTACTACATATTTATTTTCCTTATATTTACACAAAGGTTTTTATTTTTGATCCTGCAAGATTTGGTCCACTAATCTGGTAATTAGCAAATGCCAAAGTTAATCATTGTCCTTCAAATAAATCTATTCCTACTTATATTAAATATACCTTCTTGGATTTTTTTTTTTTTTGGATATTCTGTTCTGGAAAGATTTAAAATCCCTTAGCAAGTTCATATAATTAAAATACTATTTGCCAGTTCAAAGAAGGAACTTAAAAACTGATAAGCAGCAGTGATAATATGTGGTCTTAGTTATAAAAGGAAGACTGAGATTGGCAAGGAATCGATAACATTTACACTGCACCAACAGTTTTCCTATTAATTTATCTTTGTCCTCAACAACATATTTGGATTAAATGAACCATGGTAAAAACATCAGAAACATTATTTTTTTCAAATTCAGGTTGCTCATTCCATAAACATTATCATATCCAGATTCCTTAAGAGGTAAATAAATGCTTTATAAATGCAAGAACTTGTCAGAGGTACACAGCAAGGAAGTAAATTGAAGTTCTCACTAGTTTTGACACTGAAGTGTATGACATCTCGGCAGAGTTTCAACAGCCTGTCATGTGGCTCGCCTGTGTCTCTCATCTCCAAGTCAAGAAGTTGCTTCAGCTGTTCAGGAGACTGCCATTCACACACCTGGAGATTCAGCAACAACCTGCAATTAATGGGGTCCCCACCAGGGCCTGGGATTGAGAGGCATAAAGCATGGAGTGCATCTTAGGAAGCTCCCACCGAAGTGGGAATCACAGAGATCTAACTGTGAAACCATTCTTCTGCATGAAAAGAGCTGTGAGAGCAATGCTGATGTTGCTGAGACAAGTGAAGGGCCCATCCCACATGTGCATGGTCAAAGATTTCCTAGATGAAGTGATAGATACGCAAGTTGCAGCACTAAATACAAGTAAAGTAAATCAAGCAAAGGTCAGGAGACGAGATTATACCAGGGATTTTCCAGATGGAAGTAGCAGAGGTTTAAAAAAAAAAAAAGGCTGAAAACCAAGGGAATCTGTGGTACATCTGAAAAATCAAGTACATGGGGTATGGCTAGAACACAGATTCTGAGGAACAGTGAAGCAGTAAGTGAAGCTGTGTACTAAAATATCTTCCTAAGTTTGTGGCCTTTCCTCACATAGTCTATATATAGCTCCCCAACTTGGGAGCCAGAGTGATCTTCTTATACTTAAGCCATAGCCATTCTCCTGCTCAAATGCATCCATCCAAAGGCTTTCCACTTCCTTCAGAGTAAAAGATGAAGTTCCTACAAGGCTATAAAGGGATCCTGCATAATGTTTTTCCTGGAGGGTTTCCTCTTCAGTCTCATCTAGCACTACCTACCTCCCGGCTGACTCACCTTCTTGTTCCTTGAATACCTGAGGCCTGCTCCTCCTTTAGGGACTCTGCGTGGCAGGGTTCTCTCCCTGGAATACTTCTCTCCAAAATATTCTCATAGCTAACTACTTCATTTTTTTTTCAAAGCTATGCTTAAATATGTAACCTTCTCAATGACAGCAATTCCAACTCCCTTACTTAAAATTACCACCTGTCCATTACCAAGTTGATACCAATCTCCCCAATCTTTCTCTACTCTTCTTTATTCTATAACACTTACAATGTTCCAAGATATTTTATTACTACTTATTCACTATGTTCTTTGCAATCCCCATGAGAATAGAGAACTTGGTCTGCATTCACCTCTCCCAGGTAACTAACACAAAGCCCACTATGTAATAGGTTCTTAATAGAAATCTGTTGAATAAATGAAGAATAAGTGACAAGATAAAGCTAGATCATGGTGGGCATTATGGACCATGTTACTGAGTCTGACTTGGCTCTAAAAAAATTATTGAAATGTTTAGCTTAGGGAATGAAATGGTCACATGTATAGTTTAGACAACAGTTTTGTGGAGATTCTAAATAAAATTTAAAATAGGAGATAACTGTACTAAATTGAGCAAGAGAAGGTAGTTGTCTGGGAGAAAGTGGGTGGTGTAGAAACGAAATATATACTTTCTAGATGTGTTTACATACAGAATCAATAGCTGTTGAAGGTGTGAAGAGGAATGAGACAAGGATGATCTTGTGATTTCCCTGCTGGATGTAGGATACAATGGCTATGGGAAGAGCCAGGAGGAGGTGGCACAGCTGAAGGCTCTTGTTGGGAGCAGGATAGAGTGATGAACTTTGAGCATATTTCGTCTAAGTCACCTTCAGAACATCTAACCTGAGTGTGGTAGTCGGTTGAGGCTTATGTGAAAAATCAAGGACAGAATACCAGGCTACACTATGACCTGAAAATGGATGGATGACACATCTCAGAGAGAGCCTACAGGGAGGAGCAGAAAGCAAAGGATGCCCCTAAGAAATATCAATGGGCATAGGAGCTTACCTGGGAGGTGGAAGACATGCCAGAGTAAAAGGGGAAATCCTAGGAGGAATTCAGTGTCACCAAACTCAAGGACAAAAGATGTGTAGAGGAGATGTTCATTACCACCAAATACTGACATGAAGGCAACGTAGATAAAGACTGAGCCGTGTTCATGGGATTCATCAACAAGGAGGTGCTCCTAGCGAGAGAAGTTCCCTGATAGAGGTAGAGGTGGATGCCAGACTGTGGCAAAGTAAGAATATGGGAGGTGAAGAAGTTGAGGGAAGAAGTAGACAGTTTTTTATTTTTTTATTTTTTATTTTTTTTTTTTTTAGTAGACAGTTTTTTAAAAGTTCGGTTGTGGAGAGGATGAGACCGAGGAATAGCCAGGGACTGGGAAAACTGGGAGGTGGGAAGTTGGCGAGGAGGGGGAGTAAATATCAAGTTGCATGCCAAGTATGAAACTAAATTCTGGTGATGCATCTTTAACAGGTGGAGGTAAATCAAAAGTGCCTGAGACAGCCCACAGATACGACTCCAGACGTACTCAGCAACATGGAGGAATCTCAAGTGGATTTTAAAGGGGGGAAACTGCAGTCTCAAAAGGCCGCACATGACTGATTCTCTCCGCATGACATCCTGGAAAAGACATAATCTATAGGGACAGAAAACAGAGCAGTGCTTTCTAGGAGACAGAAGGACAGGCCAGGGAGAGGGTGGCTACAGAAGTGGCATCTGGGAGGAGATGAAACTGTCATATATCTTGACTTTGGTGATGGTTCGTTACAGACTTGTCAAAGCTCGCAGAACTGAGCAAAGGGAGCACACGTTACTGAAAGTGAATTATAACTCAATTTTCTTTTAAAAAGTAGTTGAAAAAGTGTATCTATTGCAGAGGACACTAGAAATAATGCTGACTAAGTGTGAAAAGGCATCTGCAGGGGACCTCAGATGAAGTGGGCTGTTAGTGGTATAAAAACTTCACCTCCCTCTCTAGCCCCAAAGAACTTTCACTGCAACTTCAAAGGATAGACAGCCTGCATATCCACCACCTGGGATGAGCTTGAGGCTGCTTACTTGGTAAAAGATCCCAATCCACCTTCTGTTCTTAGGTCCAATCAGTCCCCTGAGTGAGCTGTCCTTCCAAGAAGAAATGCCCTCTTGCTCTGTGAAATCTTGCCCTTTAAAAATAGTCTTTCCATTATCTACAATTTACTTTCTTTAACATCCCTAGAAATGAATGTCCTACCCCTGATTTTTCTCTGCCCACAAAAATCTTACCAAATATTTCTGCAATACATTAAAGCTCAAAATGCACACTCTTCTGTGAAATCCCAAAAGTCTTCCCCAACTCTCAATATTTATCACACTCTTATTGGGACCCTCTGGTCTCTTTGCCATTGAAAACTTACTCTTTCAGTTAGATTATAAATTCCGATAAAAGCTGGACCTTTATCTTGTGTTTCTGTATATCCTCCAGGGCCGAATATAATGCCTTACCAGTAGCTAACACTCTGTTAATATTTAATGACAGAATAAAGGCCAGTTTAAAAAATAGCTTGACAGAGGAGCAGTCTGCTTCACAGCAAACCAGGTCCAAAGGATTTCACAAGTTGAGAGAAGACCAGAAAATATGCAACTACAAATACATAGTCTGCACAGATAAGAAATATCATTTAATGATTTTGCCTCCATTTCCAAGTTCACAAGTAATGTCAGTCTAGTCTGTTAGCTTTCTCAAATGCATTTGACTAAAAATTCTGAATAAATAACAGTGCATTCAAAAATGTTTTAAAATGATATTTATTTCCTACTAATATAATTGGGGGGAAATCTCTCCCACAGATTCACTTATTGGTAATCCAATTCCAACATGAGAAATCATCAGTGCAATGAAACATAATTTAGTGATTCTTAGAGGCATATGAACGACACTTGGAGTGCAAATGTAGATCCCAGACTGCCTGGATTTTAGCCCCAGCTATCATACTTATACATGTGATTTTTGGGCAAAATATTTGGCCACCTCATCCCTCTGTAAAATGGGGTAGCAAATAATACCTGTTTCTTATAGGGTTTTGTAAAAAGTAATAAAATATGTGCACAAGAAAATGCAGAGTGAAGTACTTTAAAGAGTGCATACATCAGAGCAATGGATTACTTATAATCTACATTATTACCAAAGGTGGGAGCTTCATCCCTTGCTTCACAGCCTTATTGGTTAAACACTGAGGTCTCAGCCAGTCTCCTAATAAGTGATGAGTGACCGTTCATGAACATAAACACTAGGTGGGGTCCAGGGAGAGAAATGTCCCCAATGCTGGTAGCTGCACATCCCCTTGAGATGAAAGTATAAAGGAAATGAAAGCTGTACTCCTCATTTGCCTTATACACAGCCATACAAACCAGGAGGAATCTATCCTTCCCACTTCTGGAATTTCTTATGGGTTTTCATTTTTACCTTCTCATTAACATCAGTAGCTTTCAAAACCACTTCTTCCATTATTAGCTTACAGGCCTCTTCGACAAATTTTTCTCCTGCTCTTGTATCTGTGGTTGGACCATTCAGTACAACCCCATCCACCAGAATAGCACTCTTCTTGCTTGGAAAAGCCATCTCTTACTGATCAATATCTCCTAGAAAAATACACACAAAAGATATTTGAGAAATAATCTAATCAAATCACACAATGAAACACAGCAAAAAAATCACATGTATATTTATTCCAGTTCAAAATGGGCATAAATTTTTCATACCTGAAAAAACAATCTGGGATGTGAAAGCCAACAATATTTTATGGCACCCAATGACTTGATATAGTTAAAAAATTTCCTATAATCACAATTTATAGGATAGTAAGTCTACACATGCTCATCTGTATGAGCAGAGTTAGCACATGCAGTGCATAACCATGGCTTCAGTATAATTTCAGGTCTAACAGGCAGGGTATCATTGTATACATGCAATTCCCATGCTGACTGATAAGCTGAAAAAATGATGTCCTCCATAATTAGAGAGATGGCTTACAAAACAACTGCCTGTTAAATAGAATATAGTATTCACTGGCATATCCTGCAAACGTACAAGTGATTGTCACCAGATCCTTTCCTTAGGCATACCATTACAGTTGGGGATTTGGAGAAAAAAAGAGCAGGAAGAGCCCTTCAAATTTACATGGACTTAACACTGCTTCTATGCAGTAAATACCCTCTGAAAATAGAAAACATATAATGTTTGTTCTAACTTTCAGAAACTGGTACATTGAATAAATAAATTATGTAACTGAAGTTGCAAGCCTCTGCCTTCATTTCCTTGTGCAAATTCACTTAATATTTCCAAGCCCTCAGAGGAAACTCTGTGCAGAGGTAAAGAAAACAGCACCTGGCCATACATAAATTGTTTTCTTCAAAGAACCAATAATGCATTTCTGGATTGGAATACCAAATTGAATTTTACAAAGCTCCATCCTGTATTTGATGTGTCTGAATCATAGAAGGAACAGAGAGAGATCATGTTGGCCACCTTCAAGAAAGTAAATATTGAGATCAGAGGCAGCAAGCTAGCTGCTTCCTTTTGGAAGGACTGGCTCATATAAACATGTTTCTCCAAAGGCAAGTGACATCTTCCTTTAGGTGTATGTAATTCTTTGTCATTTTCTCTGTGAGTTAAATTATGAAGTCTGCACAGGAAGAAAGCTCCATTTTCTTTTCCAGCAACACCTTGTTTAGCATCAAGGAGTTGGGAGGAGCTCAGGAAATGTAAATGCAGCCAATTTTATTGATTCTTGCAAACACCTTTGAAACACAAATCCAATCCTGTGAACACAGGTCCATGTCTACTTCACGTACAGATACTGTCTCACAATTGTTAAGATTAATTTCCTTTTTAATAAATCATCCTCAAGAGGGAAGGAGCAATAGTAGCATGTCACTAATCTTAACTTAATGTTCCATATTAGAGACACTGCTTCGTCCCTGAGAGTGTCTCACCTGATTGTAACAGCCATTCCCTGCCAGAAGGCCCACAGGAAAGTGAGTGTATGACAGCTTGTGTAAACTTGTCTTCAGTGCCTTTAAACCTCATTGTGCAGCTTAACACAAGCAGAGAGATGGACCATGCATGCTCAGCACAGTACAACTGTCAACAACTAAAAGCTAAAAGTCAACATGGAAATCTGTATCTGAGAATAAAGGTTACTCTTTACCAAAAATAGCCCTCCGCAAAAATAATTCTGGCAACATAATCTGGATATTCCACCGATATTTGCCACAAGCCTTGATAGGATTGGGTCATCTTCTTTTTTTCTAACTAATCTTCTCCCCTCCTTGTAATGTACAAGTTCATTTAATTGTGGAAATTTACAGAAACAGTTTATGAAGTGCTTATAGCACTGACCTCTCAAAAGTACCCTACATTTTAAATCCACCTAAATGTACTGATGGTTTACTTTTAAACCACTTTAAGTATTTCTATTCTTACTGAAGGGTCTCATAGTATTAGTATTTATTATGCTTCTGGTCAGTTTCTCCTTGCAGTTAAGTGCTCTGATAAAATTCTATGGCATTGTAAACCCTCTAGTTCTATTATTAACAAATAAAAATGATGTCTACAAAGGCACCAGACAAAAGCATCGCAAAAGTATCCCCCATTTGGGAAAGATACAGTCTTCAGATAAAGATCAATCTTGTATCCTCAGTAAGCAGAAACATTCCAGAGCACCAGTGATAGATTTCAGTGCCACCCTTCATGCTCACTTATCCTTCACTTGAAAGAATGCACTTAACATGGCTTAGGACAAATGTTGAAGCTCTAGAATTGAGCTTTTAGACAGAAATGCTCTGCATTTGAAGGTACTTTCCCCTCAAAAAAAGTTTTTTAGGTCTTAAAAATAAAATGGGAAAGAGGGCAATTATTCTGGGAACCCTGGTTATATCAGTAGGCGTGCTATTATTAAGCACACAGGAAAAGTTAGGATTTTTAAACCTCATTAGTAGGAGTTCAGGCTTTTATTGTCTAGGGAATAACAGCATCTCTTAGCCTTCCTGGAATCAGTCTCAGGCTCTCTCTCTCTTCCCATCCCATGCATAAACACACAAACACATGCTTATCAGTTTTTCTCTCTTAACTCTGTATCTCTTTATGTCTCTCTGTCAAGATAAAATTGAAAATGTCAAACACCCACTTACAATCAGAATAGGAATGAAATTTAAGTCTTTTTATTCACATCAATTGTTTACATCAATGCCTATAATTTATAAAATTATCTAGGAGAAAATATTATTATTTAAAAACCTATAAAGAATTGGGTCTGAATTATGCCTCTTTTTCTGAATAGTTTCTTGTATTTCATTGCCAGCTGTCACAACATGCTTCTGTCTCTGCCTGCATTGGCCAGGTTCAGAAACACAATGTCACAGAATCCGTTAGTAATGAAATGGGGTAAGTAATAACTAGAGTTGTGTGCAGGAGCAATGCAATTCTGTTCTACAGGTATCTACAACTCAAACAATAACATTAGGGAGTTAACATTAAGAAGTAAGATTAATTAGACACTCAGTTCCTGCCCCTGGTAATTGAAAGCTTCGGAGCGTAGAATAATTGCAGTAGAAGATGATAAGGTGTCAAGTGCCATGAGAAAGATACCAACACGATGTTTTCAGTATAACCAACACAGATACTTGGGGTTAAAGGTAAGGGTTATGGGAGAGGCTGAGATAGCAGGAAACACTTCTGAATGAGAAGACTTGTCTTTTCTAATATCTGTAGTAACAAATAATTTTAAGACTTCATCATTTCTAAAATTAGTGTCTCCATTGGCAGACAACTGGAATGATCACAAAGCTTCTGGCACTGACTTCAAAATGCATTCATGTCCTTTCTACAGAATTTTACAGTAAATGAGTATACAAAACAAATCTTATTTCCTTTTGATAGGACTCTATCCAAATATGTGAAACTTCTAACAATTCTCATGTGAAATTTTATTTTGCCAGTGAAAAACTGCTCTAGTCTTTTTCAGCAGTTTCTGGTATCCTATAATCCTCAGTCCAGGCCAATTTGCTTTTATCCTAAAAAAATGAGAAAGTGTATAAAGCTTCAAGTACAGCTTCCTCAGCTCTACCTACAGGTAGAACATATTTCCCACTCTCAGTTCTCATGATTCTGTTAACAAGGCTCACTTTAGCACCCCAGTGTACTCAAGAGCTTGAGCTTTGAAACTAGGCAACACTTGGCTCAAATTCTAACTGCACCACTGTGATCTTAACAATGTTATGCATCTTTCATGTGACCCATATTCTTATCTGGTAAATGGGGGAAATAGCAGGACAATTTCCTTGAGTCATAGAAGGTGTGAAAATGTAATAATGCATGAAAGGCGCTGAGGAAAGTGACAAGAAGAGTGAAAGAATTCAATAAATGGTACCTACTAACCCGACCAAATCTATATGAACTCTCTTCTGAAGCTCACGATATTCTGTTGGCTCAGGTAAAAATTGTAACTAACAGCCTTAGGTTTTTGTCAGACAACTTGCCAGTACCAGCAAAGCATACCATCCAAGGCTAATTGTTTAAAGAAAATTAGAAATAAAAAATATTTGCTCCCATTCAATAAACTAATAGAAATTAGTAGTATAATTATCTTAGCTATATATACATATATATTATTATTATAGTATTATATATTTTCCCTTCCCTCTTTCTTTTGTCTTTTCCCTCATCCCAGCTGTTATTTCCTTTTGAGCAAAAATCCCTTTTTGTTTGACCAATTTTACATGCTTATATCTGGTAGTCTGAACACTACTTTGAAGACAACAACATGCAATGTAACAACAATTGTTGAATTCCTATCATCTTTTTTTTTTTAAATTCGGTATCATTTCTAATTTTTTGTTATTTTTTATTGTCTTTAAAACAAAAAAGTTAAAAATTTGCTCCCGAAGTACATAAAAGAAGAAACAGCGGTTCATTAATGAATCCAAGAACTTGGTTAGGAGGTCAAAGAACTTTTTGGGGACCTCATGCAAAAGATGCTGGGGACCATGGAAGACCTAAGAGTCAGGATTCAGAGAACCTAAGATGCCACTCTAAAAAAGGTTGAGAAGCAAAGTCTGGGAAAAGAGTCAGGGTAGTGTTAATTAATATATTAATAAGAGGCCACTATGAGCCAAGCATCTTGGCTCCTGACAATACAGAAGTAAACCCAGAGTCGCTGTTCTCAAGCTGCTAAGAATAGAGAAGGAGAATATTTAGGGACCCAGAGAAAAGGAAAATTGAGATTTTAAAAAATGGAAGATACATCCTTCTCTGCTGACATTTTCTAAGTAAAAAGTCTCTCCTAAACTCAAAAGACGGGATGTCTAATTTCTTTGATGTACCTGGCAGTCGGTACGAGAGACAATTCGCAGCCCACTTAAATTTCACACGTGTTTTAAGTTATTGTTGCTGTCCAAGAAACAATGTGCCAGTAAGAGGGTAAGTAAGGGCAACCTGCAAGGGAGAAGGCCATGGCAAATAAAGATCAAGAAATGATAGTAACACGGGCAGTTTGTACAGAATCTCTGGAGATTTGTGTAATGACAGCTAGCCAGTAACCCAGCTTCTCAATCTAGCCCTGTGATTCCCCTGCATCAGAGAG